TGCTAATACTCTTGCTTTAACGTGACCACAATTCACTGTCGTAGCATTATTTTTAATATTCCTTTGTTTTGTTTCGACACCATCAGTTCCTTAAAATATGTCTTACTCTACCAATCCACACCAAGCAAGTCACCCAGTCTAACCATATGAATGCGCGCGTTTTAGAAGGGGAATTACCCAGTTTGTTGCGCTGTAAACTTAAATAATCAGATGTTAACTCTCACATTGTTTGTGTTGAACTATTAACTAAACAATGCGATTAAAATTGTGCTTCAACACCGTGTTTTTATACGGAATAACAGTGGGACGGACCGGTTTAAGCCAGAATAGTGTGGCGTGGATTGCTTTATAACAGGCAGTGGCGTATTCATGCCTGTTTATGTTGTACTTGTTGTCTTAAATGAATACAAGAGTTGTGTAATGAATGGCTGATCTGTAAATTAAAGATGTAACAGCAGCGGTTCTGTCAATGTGAGCAGGTGCGTGAATGTGAAGCGCGGTGGGCGGGGCTTCTCACGCAGCTTGCTGGGTTTAGTTTTGTTTTCGCCGTCTCGATAGGAGCCTCATGTATATAAACAAATGATATTAATATTCCCCCAAAAATGTGTGCCCTCCGTGTTTCTTTGTTTAACTTCTTTTGCCAAGAATGATTTGCTATATGACTCTCAAAGCTATCATCTAAGTTTCTTTATTTTTCCCACAGTGGGGAATTTTTTGTTGCTTCACAAGTTGCAGACAGTAGGAATGAGAAGCACACAGCACAATATAAATGAACAATAACTCTATACTGAAACAAAATCTCCAACTTAAAGATATATAGGAGGATTTTTTTTTTTACTTCTGGTAGGGTCATCAAGACTGTTGGTCCTCCCAATTGTCAATCATGCGTGCTCGTCAAATAAGAGCCTGGTTCAAAAAGTGGAGAGGGTGGTACTTTCCTAACATTTGGGCAGATCCTCCTATATACCTTTTTTTTAAAGCATAAAAAGCAGAATGCAATCTTAAACTTTAGCATAATAACTAGGAATATCATCCATCTGCCAAATCTAATGTTGGCATTATAAATAGATCTAGAGGCAGAAAGGTGCAGCTGACATGTCATGAAAATGTGTTACAGTTGAGTTGAGTTTATTTTATTTAAGTGTCATACACAAAAGTGCCCGGCCCACATGGGCTTGTATGACACTGAAGCAACAACATCTGATGGCTACAGACTAGGTGTTTGACTTTTGTACAAAAATTCAAAGTTTGTTTATTAATTTAAACATTCAAATATATTTTAATATTTAATTATAATTTATTATACAGCTCCTCACAGCAGCAGTAGAACGCTCCATTGATTTGAATGTAATTTCAAAACGTTCTACCGATAATTTTTTCTGTCTGAAGATTGGTTTCATTAGTTTGTTCTGCCCATAAATCCAAAAGCTATTTGTGTTTTCTATAAAGGAGTATTACCTTTTTTGAGCTGACTTTACAATATTGTTGCCTCATCAAAAGCATTTTAGATAATAGTGAATAACAGAAATGTGCAATGTCCCCTCCCCTTCACAAAATGCTTTATGTTGAATCTTTCTGAACTGTTTTTATTATAGACAGATCCACAGAGATCTTTTATGAGCTAAAAGAGTATTTGTAGTAGGGATGTAAATCGGTGACCGTTTAACCGGTGGTTGACCGTGACAGCGTTAACCGGTCAAAGCTGCCGGTAGGGCTGGGCGATAAAACGATAACGATATATATCGCGATAGACATGTGTTCGATATCAATAGAGAATGGGGTCGATAGAATGTTCGATAGTTTAACTTAACTCCGTCAGGAAAAACAGGAAGAAAACACCGGAAGTAAAGCCGACTCATAAGCGCATGGCATTGTGGGGGATGTAGGCAGAGGCTTCTCGACCAATAACAGCCGAGCAGGAACCGCAAAACTTTCTGGGAAATGCAAAAACAACAACAACCGCACCATGCGTGGCGTCCATGGATCTATAGCTCGTGTTTCAATGCCGTGTCAATGGTTATGCACGTACGTGCGCGGAATAACATGTGCGGCGGCAGAGGCAGTGGACAGACCCGACGTATTCGGCGAAAGCAAGAGATTAACTTTTTCCTCGGGAAGCATGTGCGGCACAGAGAGCCGCACGGAGCGGTCACGGGGACACAAGACCCTCAAACAGCTAAACCAGGAATAAAAAACCAGGATTAAACCAGGACTAACAACGAGGGACACAGTGTGAACATATTCCTCCAGCCTCATTGCCCCGTGACTGTAAACAAGGCTGCTAAGGTTGGTTAGCCCACACAACAAATATATTTATTTAGGTAAAAAAAAAAAAAAAACTCAATATATATCGTTATCGACCGATATGAATGACTTATATCGTGATATAGTTTTCAGCCATATCGCCCAGCCTTAGCTGCCGGTTTAAAAAGGGGGAGAGGGGAGGTCTCTTCATAACGCCATTTTAAGCCCTATTCGCACGATGTGACGAGCGGGTCCGTATCTAGCTGTGTGCGCCAATGTAAACTCCGGGCCGATTCTCTCCACACGCGTCATACACGTGCGCACAGACACACACACATTTTCCCCCCCTCCATTGATACGTAATATCCACACCATAGACTGTATATAATAACGGACAGAGTCACGCCTATCTCCGCCGTTCATAGGAGTTGGCCATGAAAAGTGCTTTCATGGAGCAATCCAAGATGGCCACGAGTGGTCCCGCCCACAAGAAAAATGTGAAAAAACGCATCTGTGCATGCGTCAGCCGGCGCAGCTCCATTCATTTGAACGAGAGACTTCAAAAATTCACCGCGAGTAAAATAGAGTGGACCAAAAAAATCCACCCCCCTCAGCATTGACACACATGTGGAACGGAGCTTTGGGCCAAGAGCCAACTTTTGGTCCATCCAGCTATGATGATGCTGCGGGAGCGGTCCACGCTGGCTATATGTTAGCATTGGCTAATTCTTCTTCTGGGTCCACCCCCATCGGCCCGGGGTGGTATTGCAAGCATGTCAGCGCACGTCATTTTGGCCACTTTTGAGCCAGGACCCGCCCCCACTGATCCACACGCATCATCTCTCCCTCTGTTACCGCCTGCTAGTTGCACACTGGTGCAGGTCAGAACTAGCCTGGTTGTACCACACCTTACTACAAATTACATTTCATACTAAGGTCTGGATTTGCTCCATGGAGCTTCATTAACAGGTGGGAGGGGTTAACTCCTTTTGCAGATTGAAACGATTGGATCTGAGTTTACTGTGACGTAAGTAGTGCGCCCGACTACATACGTTGTAGCATTGTTAGCATTTAGCCTAGCCATCTCCTTTGCCGCTAACGGAACCCGTGGGGAGTAGAGCCACAATCTTGACCAGCGATTACATTTGCTAAACATTCCTCTTGCTCCTGCTTAAATTTCTTGATAGAACCAGACCGGATTACTTTACTATCGCATTCTTCGCCATTGCCAAACCACAACCTGCCCGTACGACGCAAACTCTTGACGTCACCGGCACCGACCTACAACACCCGCCTTCCGCGCTCTCTGAGTAGCCGGTCGAAATACGACCGATTGTATTCGCTAACACAGGGACCAGACCCAGACGTTACATGCAGTGAAATTATGATTGAGCGGAGTGAACGGATGGCTAAGGCCAGGCTAGGTCAGAACTACATTGGAGCTTATATTTACACACACATACACATACACACACACACACACACACACACATGCATACATGTATTGTACACACACACATACCGGTCTGTCGCGCTCCTCTGTGTCACACAGCCCAAAGGATCCGTGCAAATACGCGGCTCCAGTCAAACCACATGGAACATGTTTGTGTTTATGGTCCTTGGCATTAGATCAGCTCCACACTACAACACTTTTAAACTTTAACAGAGATCTGCGGTTTCAACCGGTTAATGAGGCTCGGTGGTCGGTCATGGAAATTCATAGTTTTTTACATCCCTAATTTGTAGTAAGATACTGTGGTCGTGTTACGGTATTAAAAGAGCAGTTGGCAGTCAAAAAACATTGACTATGAATCTTTGCGCTTTGTCTTCACAAGAACCCCTGTTGAGCATTGGAAATGGACATACTCCACTGGGGTGAACTGAGAAAAATAATAGATTTGTAGTAGGGCTGGGCTATATAAACGGAATAAGCGGTATGCGATAAAAATTTGGCCAACAATAAAGATTATTTTTATACCGGCGGCATAGGTCATTATGTCATCAAACTGAGTCCCTGCTCCAAGCTAGGTACTCTGTCTGGCCCTGGTGGGACTTGAGGTTTGTGGAGACTGGACACACCTAATTTTCAAACTCAAAAAATATATTAGATTCTAATACAAAATAAGTAACAATGTTGACTATTTTATGCAAGAACCTGCTAGACCCATTGAAAATCATACACCAAATTATACCGCAATATATACCTTCTACCATCTGTGTCCCAAATTATACCACAATATGAATTTTAGGCCATATCGCCCACCCATAATTTGTAGATAAATCTCTTAAATTGGATGCAATTTTTATATTTTTTTTCAGCATTGTTTTTTTTATTTAGATTTGCATTACAATTGTTTTTAGAAATTTTATATTTGATTTACTTTTTGTTTTCAATTAAATCAATATTATATAATAAACAAATAATGCATTCTTTTTGTCCTTGCGCTGACACTATTATGAAGCCAACTCATTTTCTCTTTCTATCCAATAGGTCAAGATCCTGAGCATTTGTGGATTTATCTTGGACCTGGTGCAGTCCCATATCAATCCCTAAACGGCCCCTACTCAGTCCCTGTACAGGCCTGATTCAATTCAGTTACGGTTTTGTCCCAGTTCTAATGTCGTTTCCACAGTGGGTTTCCAACATGAACGGAACTCCTCGGCCTTTATGACACACAGCCGTGCGTGTGGACTCCATGGGCCATTTTACTGACTCACAAACCCGCCCTTTTGTGTACTAACTTTACACCTTGGCCATGGATCCCACCATGGAGGACCGTTCCTCCCCACCTGGTACGCCCCCTCCTCCCGTTGCTGTGGCTGCCCTCAACATGGCATCCTCTGTGCGATTCACGGTGACTCCGACCAAAGCCGAGGACCTGCCCGGGATCTCAGACACGTCACCGGACATCAGCTCTCGGTCCAGTGGGGGAGGGGCCAAGGTGCGGTTTGGGTCCAGTCAGAGTGTGAATCGCAGCGAGCAGCAGAGCGAAGTGTCCACAGCAGGTGGCGCCACCACAGAGACGCCAGACCACAGCTACACCGAGCACGGTAATGTCAATGTAATGTCAATGTAACTTTATTTGTATAGCACACATACAACAACACCAGCTGCTCAAAGTGCTTCACAGGCATGAAAGATAAAAAATAAAGATAAAGAGAGCACAAAATACAAACATACATAAAAGTAAAATGGTAAAACTCAATTGGTGTTAAAAGCCAAGGTGTAAAAATGGGTCTTTAAACTAGACTTAAAAACGTCCAATGAAGGAGCTGCTCTAATGAACTGAGGTAGGCTATTCCACAGTTTGGGGGCAGCAACAGAAAAGGCTCTGTCTCCACGAGTTTTGAGACGAGACTGGGGCACGTTCAACAAAAGCTGGTTTTCAGACTAGGGTTGGGCGATATGGGCCTCAGCATGTATCACGATTTTTGTTGGTATGTATCACGATATGACGATATGATAATTTTAACAAAGCCTCATATAAAAGCTATAAAAACTTAGCACTGATAATTTTAAACACACTTGCCTCAAAGTGCATTTACTGATTTATTGGCAGCAAAATGTGTAATACAGCTATTGTATATAAAACGTATTAACAAAACTGAATTGTAGAGAATTCTGTTTTGTACATACTGAAAATTGCAGGCAACATGTAATGAAGGTGAACATTTGTAATTTGTAAAATATATAAAAGTTTGTCCTTTGTAATATAAAAAGTGTAGCATTATCAAATAATTATTTGATCACTTGGGCTTATGTTTCCTAATCCCAATATAGTCAAAATGATCAAATACTGTATATATTTTTTGTATCCTTTTGCATTTCTATAATTATGTAATTATAACTTAGTTGTAATTATATTGCAATGTAGACAAACACATGCATTGAAGTAAAATGAATGACAGTAAACAGTAAATAAAGCTTACCAATGACACTATGAGAGAGAGAGAGAGAGAGAGAGAGAGCGAGTGTCCGAAGCAAGCCACTCGAGTCCAGTTGTTTAGGGCAGCTGCTTTCACAACATTAGATCCACTGTCGATAGTTACACACAATTGCGTCTTTTTATCTAGTTCCCAAACTACTCCCATATGTTTGAGGTAGCTCCGCGTTTTGGCACAATGTCTTCTACAATCTGCATGTCTTCACCATGGTCTTCACCGCCGCCCTCAGCCATGTTTGCTCTCTGCTCTGTTGTTGTTGTCCCTGCACGCCGCTCTGCTACACGTGTCGCGCAGATGCGTCATCAAAGTGCGCCGCACACAAACGTGTCTTCCGCTCGCTGTTTTCAGTGTTAAATGATCGTTTTCACCGGTATAAGGCATTTTCTTATCATTTAATTTACTTATACCGGTACAACAAAAATATCGCCCAACCCTATTTCCTCACTGATCTGACAAGGGCATACAAAGATAACAGCTCCGACAGATACACAGGGGCCAAACCATTCAAACACTTAAAAACAAGCATCAGAATCTTAAAATCAACCCTGAATGTAACAGGGAGCCAGTGAAGTGAGGCCAGCACGGGGGTGATGTGCTCTCGCTTATGTGTCCCTGTGAGTAAGCGAGCAGCAGCATTCTGCACCTGCGCTTTAATGAGCCGAGGTCCAGACCACAGTACAACGAGTTGCAGTAATCTAATCTAGAAGAAATAAAACGGTGGATAACTCGCTCAAAGTCAGTGGTTGGGATGTAAGTCTTCACTTTGCTCAAGTGAAGGCTAGAGTTTACAGTCAAATGCTGCTGATATGCAATCTTGTTTACAGCTAGGGCTGGGATAAATGATCATTTTTTAAACAATTAATCTAGCGATTATTTTTTTGATGCATCGATTAATCAAACGATTAATTTTTTTCAATCCGATTCGATTTCTATTATCGATAATCTCCCCAATGATTGACTAATATCAATGTATACATGTTGTACACAATTCCTTAGCAAAATATATTTATTGCTCTTAAATATCAAAAATAAGACATTCTTAGTCAGGGTTGCATGAAACCTTGAGGCCTTGAAAACACATCTAGCTTACTGAAAAAAATGCATCTTATTATTATTCTTTCAGATAAAAATAAAACTTGATGTTTAGCATTTAATAAAATAAAAAAAAACCCAATGTAATCTTGAGGGCTTTAACACCCGCCTCATTTGGCTTGTAAAAACACATCTTACATCTCACATGCTTGTGTGATGCATAATTTTAAAGCTAGAGCCTTCTAGTTTATGTGAAAAAACACTAAAATAATGTTCGTCATTCCTATTTCCCTCTGCATCCTTTGAAGTTTGGGAAAAAAAACCCAATTTTTTTAGCCTCGCCTAATATTTTCAATTTCTAAAGGACCTAAAAAAGGCATACTTCATTGTAAGTTCACAATATTCAAACCCTGTGGTCATTGTGTTGTTGACAACAACTGTCTAAAGTTTCAGACTTCTAAGTTTCATAGTTTTTATGCAGTTTCTCCTTTTCATCAAGTAGTGCACATGCCAAATATCTTTACTGACATTTAATCATCATAAAAACAATATTTTTTTTATTATTGGCACTTATAAGTTACTAATCTATGTGTTTTTTTTTTTAAATGTCAAAGTAATTTTTTTGAGTGTAAATTCATTGCAGCTTCGAGAGCGTCTTTTGGCTGCCATTACGCACAATTCTACAGGCACAACATAAGACAGGACACCATTGTCCCACCCCTTGCTCGAAAGCTTTCCTCATTGGCTACACGGACATGTCAATCAAAAATCCCGGAAGTAAATGCAAACAAGTAGGGACAACAACAAAGATCAGTGATCCATGCGCAAACAGCAGCGCTAGCTGTACTCACGGGAGCTCTTGCAGACCCAAAAATTGGTCTAGATTTTCGGGAGTAGTCTCATTTGAAAGATAAGGAGCTAAGGAACACGTGGATACAAGATGTTGCTCTTTTTTTTCATTTTTTTTGCTAAAGATAAATGCACATTTTTGGATTATTTCTGCAGAATGGATTTTACTTTGGGTAATACAAGTGGATATAATTTTCCTTTGGACTGTTCCAGAGAGAATGATGTATTGCAAGCTGGGAGGAGAGCTGATTTATTTGTACAGCACAAGCCCAAAGGTAAAAAACTATTTCGGAATTGATTTATTTTGTCTGATGTAGTTTACACTTGTATATAAATGTAGATAAGAAAATAAGCTTTAAAATGATATACAGCTTTTGGGGTTTGGTGTTCAAAATACATCTGCTATTGCCAGCAGAACATTTAAAAACATAAAAACGGCGCGCCGGTGGGTGTTAAGAAGTTAAGCTAAAGAGTGCTTTTCTAGCAAAAAATAATAAAAATAAACCTTTAGAATTCAACAGTTATGTTGAACAGTGGCCTCTCTTACTGAAAAAATCAACTTCATTCACAAATAACAAATAATAACTAGACTTGGACACTTTCCTTTCCCCTTAAGAATACTGGCTGTCTCTTTGTGTGTGCTTGTGAACATTCCTACAGCCCGAGTTGTCAATCTCCAGTAACTACACTAGCGCAGCTAACATGTAGCGCAGCTAGCATGTAGCGCAGCTAGCATGTTTGCCGATGCAGAAGTACAGTCTAATAATAAAATAAACGTATGGCGCACCTCCGTGAATACATACCGCTGTTATATAAAGTCTCTGAAAGGTCTCTGGACACAGAGACGCTGCAGAGCTGCCTTTTGGAGAAGAACTTTACACAAAAAGCCGCTAGCATAACTCAGCTAGTTTCGCTAGCCTAACTCCGCTAGTTTAACTCTGTTAGCCCAGGACTTCTGGTCTGAACACCCCCAGCCTCTGAAATGTAGAAACACTGCGTCTACTGGGAGGGGATACCTCCATCTCCCTGGCTGAGGTCACCAAGGTGGTTGGCAGCCTCCCTGGTGGCAAGGTGCCAGAAGTGGTTGAGATCTGTCCTGACTATCTAAAGTCTCTGGATCTTGTAGGACTGTCTTGGCTGACACGTCTCTGCAACATCATGTGAAGATCGGGGGCGGTGCCAATGGAGTGACAGACCGAGGTGGTGGTCCCTCTCTACAAAAAGGGGGACCGGAGGGTGTATTCCAATTATCGTGGGATCACACTCCTCGGTCTCCACTGTAGGGTCTACTCCAAGGTACTAGAGAGGAGGTTACGGCGAATGGTTGAATCTCGGATTCAGGAGGAGCTCTATACTCCATCGGATACTCAAGGGTTCATGGGAGTTCGGCCAACCTGTCCACATGTGCTTTGTGGATTTGGAGAAGGCATTCGAGCCGAAAGGTAAAGCTCTCGATTTACTGGAATCTTCGTTCCATCCCTCACCTATGGTCATGAGCTTTGGGTAATGACCGAAAGAATGAGATCGCGGATACAGGCGGTCGAAATGAGTTTCCTCCGCAGAGTGCTCTCTTAGAGATAGGGTGAGGTGCTCAGTCACACGGGAGCAGCTCTGAGTAGAGCCGCTGCTTCTCCACGTCGAGAGGAACCAGTTGAGGTGGCTCGGGCATCTGTTCCGGATGCCTCCTGGACGTGGACACCCTGGGGAGGTGTTCCGGGCACGTCCCACCAGGAGGAGACCCCAGGGAAGACCTAGGACATGCTGGAGGGACTGTCTCTCAGCTGGCTTGGGAGAATCTTTGGGTCCCCCTGGACGAGCTTGAGGAAGTGTGTGTGAATAGGTAAGTCTGGGCATCTCTGCTTAGACTGCTGCCCCCTCAACCCGGCAACGAATGAAGCGGAAGAAAATGGATGGATGGCGTCTACTGGGCGTGTAAACTGCGTTCCAGCGTTGGCGATCTGAACGCCCCATAAGACGGCACTCGCATTGGTACGCTACTGCTACAGTAGGTCCCATTTCGTTTTGTCGTCTTCATTCACGCTTTTCGGGAATCACGCAGCTGCGTGAAAAATATTACATCTTATCGCCACAAGGTGGCAGGTTAAGTCCGCTTTAGCTCTGCCAGCGACTTAGACGCTCTGGTATGATACTGCGTGCAAACCTGTCTAGCCCAGTGAAGCTATGTTGGAGAACCCAGGTTCGATTCTTGTCTGAGGCAATTTTGG